AAGCTTTCAAGATATTGCATTTCATTAATTGCCGATTTGTGTTATTGTTAACTTACTAGTTTCCCGACACGAATAACAAGTTTTTCTTTAGGTGTTCCTTCTCTTTCCAAAATATTATTTTTGGTTGCTAAAAATACATCCCATAACTCTACTGCATCTTTATACTCTTGAGAATTTTTCTGAAAATAGTATGTTGATTTTAATTATTATTGAATAAAAAGGATTTATATTAGATTATAAGTGCTACCTTAGTGACATAAAATACAAGGCAAATTCAGTTTAGGATCCACTTTTTTAATTCAGTTTAAAGGAGTTGAGAGGGGGAGGAGGTTGTTGAACATTTCCTAACCAGTAACCACAATGTATTATTTAAATGTTCAATAAAGTAAATAATATTAATTTTAATTGAAATTTATTCAGTTAACAGTTACTTCTATTCAAATCCACTGTGGGGTGGGTTCCACTACTAAGTATATACTAAGTTGTATATAATTGCATCTGGTAAAATACATTTATTTTAATTGATACAATATATATAACATATAAATCATGTTACACCTATTATATAATAATATAATTTAATATTCAGTTAAAATAAGGGTATTGATTACTAATTTCTCATGTTCAATATCAACAATTTATATAAGAGGTCATCAGATGGCGACCTACAGAATACATTTTTGAAAGCCCGTAGAGAAAAAAATAAAAAGTAAAACCCGTTAATATGATAATTTACTACACTAGAGTAGTAAATTATCATTTTTGTTGATTGGTTTTTACTAACATCAGCAATTTCAATCAGAACTTTTTAATTTCATAAATTTTCATTGAACATGTTGTAACATGAGATACATTTCCATAGCACTCTGCTACATTTTAAGTCAATCCATAAAAAAAAATAAGCAAATGCTTTAAGTCCCGATCCCTGGTTATAACTAAAACACATAATATGTAAAAAATAATTACCTTATAAAAGGATTTGGCATTATTAGTAAGGAGTTCCAAATCAGTTTGTAAATCGTCAACATCATCATATTCATCTGTTTTAATTTTTTGTTGAATTTTTATCAAATCTATCGGATTAGAAACAACCTGTAAAATTGATAAAAAATATATAAAATGTACATAAGTAATTGTTATGAAGAAGCATAATAAGTTATTTACATCATAGTATGTTGGTTCTTGTCTTCTTTTTGGAGCTCTAATAAAACTATCACATAATAACATGCCATCTTCTTTTTTAAAATTTCTTATTGTATCATAAACTGATTGAACTATGTCCACCTAAAACACAACCACATCGATTGAATGTGTTACTAATTATGCATTTTTACAATTTTGGAATAAATTATGAAAAAAAATGAAAGTTGAATGATTATATTTGAAAATGTTTAAGATTTTAACACATTACAACAGCTACATTCTTGTTTGGATAAGCATGATATTTTAATTGGTATAAAGCATGATAAGGCCTGTTTTATTTTAATTACAAATCGAATAGTTTGATTACACTTGGATCGTATTTAAAAACTATTGACTTTTTGACACATATCATTTCCTTTTTCATTAAATAATGAACAGTTCTTAATTTTGTTAACTTCTCCACGGGAAATAACGACAAAAATCAAGCCTAACAGGAGTTAACAATTATTTTAGTATACATATCAATCTTTACTACATATATTTTAAAATAAGGTATTTAAATAAAACAATTTTAAGTTCAATAATGTGCTGAATGTAGAATATATAAATTGATGTAAATGATCAAATAGACAAATTGGTATCATAATTGTTCATGTAAGTAAAAAATACGAACATGAAATTGATTTAAGGGATTAAATATAATCGAGATTTCCATTTTTTTCTATATTTTCATGACAGCTGAATTAAAAAACTGTTGGTTCAAACTATCAATAAATATGGTAGCAACCAACTGATCTTAAATAATATGTTATATGTTGATTCGATCTATGTCTGAATATATATTATTATTATCTATTTTTCATATACATATATGTATGATTTAAAATTTTCTATTCGAAATTACATATACCGGATCCACTCGTCTTTTCTTGCGTATGTGCTCAACTGGTAAACTTTCCACTTCGTCATCAGTTGCACGACTAGCAATTGATGACGCTCTCCTGCGTCGATTCATTTTTTAAATAGTTTTCTACCGTGGATGATAGAATAATACGTCCTAGAACATACTCATTAATTAGGCATTCATGAATACTCCACAGTTCATGTAAATCATCGTTTGTACTTACCTATGGTATACCAAAATCTCTCTACGGTGAACCAAGTGTTGTAACCGGATATTTATAATGAAAAATAATCAAAATATAAACAAATACCAATAATTATTTTACAAAACTAAACGGTCAGAATAACCGAAAACTTATCGGTTGTGCACTAAACACTAAATAGTGCGGCTCGCGGCTGATGCATACTGCAAAATCCAAGTATAAACACTAAAATAATGGTGATAACAGTTTTTATTGATTATTTCATATTGTTTACAAAATAAAAACCTACCATTGGCTACACGAATGATTATTGTTTCTTCTATGAATGTTTATAGGGACAAGACAGTTAACCCACTAACAACTTTACCGAATATCGTCTTCTACGTCAAAAAACGAGGACCGGTTCAGTTGCAGACATTCTTAATTTAAATTTATAAATTAATTAATGCTACTTTAATAGTTAAAAAAATATCATGGGCAGACATTTGCACACGTATAATTTTTGAAAATCTGACTATTGGATATATTGGACGAAATTTTACTCCTTACAAAAAAAATTTAATACAAATATATTTTAATGTTTATTTATTTTGTTATATTATTTCTTACCCAAAAAAGTAGGTTTATATTAAACTGTTAAACATTTTACTCTCGATTCTGTAAACGCTAGTATTTGTTGTACCTAGATCTTTAATTTGCACATTATGTTTCTGAGACAGATTTCTTCTTTTTTTTTTTTTAAAGCATACAATCTGTAAATAAATTACATTAGATTTCTAAGTTCATTAATAATATAATATAATAATTAATTATCTTTCCAATATTTACGAGAATTACCAGTAAAAATACTGTAATTATGAACATTAGAAACTTTTATACAATAGACGTTTCATGCTGTCTCAGCAATATAAATATTAAATATATATACACATAACACATACATAGATACAAAATACAAATATATTATATTGTACATTACAATATTATGTCTGACCGTCTTGTCATTTGTTCATTCTGTTCAATGATAACTGACCTATTATAGCAATTAGCAATTACCTAGAATCACGATAAATATTTCTTTATCGTGCCTGAAATATAATAAAAAGCAAAACCTATGGAAATAAAGAGCCATTAAAACTATAGCCGTCTTCATTGTAAAATATATTAAAATACAAAATTATACTTGGACGTCCCCCTACCCGAATCAATGTATATTTTTTACACATAATAATAAATTGGATAATGGGTTACTTGGTTTTACCTGGAACATATGATCATCTATCGAATATCATCATTCACGTTATGGATTTATTACCCAATTTAATGAAAAATGATAAATAAACCTAGGTTAAGTAAAAGTATTATTGAATTACGTTTATTCAATAATTTAACAATTTGTATAATTATGAAATGAGAAATCTCCTAAACAGTACTTTTCATTATTTGTATTACTTATTTTTATTTGTTTATTCTTTAGTATTTATATTAGCTTATTTTGTACTGCAACAGTGTTATTATAACGTATTATTGAATTATATAAATATCTATCTTATTATATTATTAATATGACCATTTGTAAATTTATTGATTTGAATTCCATATTATCGTTTAATATTTTTACTATTAATTTTTTGTCCGGGGGGGGGGGGGGCGTCCTGGATTCAGACAAAATATAGGTACTTATACTGTATTCATTGGACAACATAAATACAAGATAATGCGTTTAATGTACCTATTTAAACTGGGCCGATTTTTAACCAGTTGGCATGAGTATGTCAAAATACCTATATTGGATACGTCAAATTTCAAAGATTAATCATAGCATACATAAAACAATTCTAATAGAAATAGTAATATATAATTGTATACACATTACCATATAATATTATTGTCAATGGGGTTTAATGGTGTAATAGCAGATTACAAAATAAGATTTTAGTAAGTTGTTTCATATTTCTACCATTAACATATTTCGAAAACCTATTTAGTATATTTGAATAGTTTGAATATCCAATATCTTCAACTATCTTTGCTCCTAAGAAATTATTGTGACAAGACACTTTCTCAATTTCCAGTAAATAAACTTGGTATCATTCCCAAAGAAATTTTGACTGATGAATAATGATATTTTACCCTGAATAATTGTTCAAATATTTGTAATAGAACTTGTGAGAAGGCTTTTATAAATATTTATTCAGTTATTTAACCATAAACAAATATTTAACAATACAAAAATCAGAAAAAACTTAGTTTAGAATTTAAAATATCTTTAATTAACAAAATAATTAGAGCTATAATTATTAAATTATATTAAGTCGTGTCTATGAAAAGTTGAAGTATATGGTTGCTAATTTTTGATATAAAAATTAGTTTTGTCAACATTTTTTTTTTTTTTAATTAATAGTGATTTTATAATATTAAACAAATGTACCAAGACCAACTAGATCTAATATGTACCAGAAACTATTTTTGTAGTGAAAGATCAAACTATCGTACCATAAAATGTGTGCAAAAAATAAATAAATGATAATTTGAAAAATAAACACACCATAAAAAGTAAACATAAATTACTGTTTTTGATACAGCTGCAGTAAAACAATTTTAACTTAACCCTTTTACACATTGCAGCTTGTTACAACTAGTTGACTTTTTGCATTTAAATAATAAAAATTGAATTACATATTATTAGTGTCAAGAAAATTTTTGCGATTAAATTTTGAATACGTAAAAATGTGTACTCAAGACAAAATATTTAAATTTAAGAATCGTTTTATTACAAATCATTAGAAACAAACTAACTTTCATTTGCTAAAATTAATACTAACACCTTTCAATCATGGACAGCAACTTATATGGCTTTAACAAATCAAAATATATTTTTAAATAAAATCGTCATGTATTTTATAAAAATGTGTTACATAGTTGTTTTGCATAAATAGTGATTTTAGTATTTTCCTCTAGAATAAGACCTTGAACGAGATTTTCTACTTCTGTAAACAGGTGAGCGACTCCTTGATTGTGATTTTGAATATGAACGATAAGCACGCCGTGAAGGTGAAGATCGTCCCCTAAAATCAATTAAACATAATAAGAAATATGTAATTTATAACAAAATTAAATTTTCAATTACAACAAACTATATAGAACAGTGTTAAATTCCTGAAAACATTATACTATTATATTATTTAACAACATACCATATAAATTCACAAATTAAAATTAAACACTAGTTCAATACATATTAATTTTAAGTAAATATAGAGTTTAAACCAATATAATACATTAATATTAACTTGCTCTTAAATTAATTTATTTTCAAGTATATAATACATCAAATAAAACATGGTATCAGCACAAAGCTTAAGAAAAATGACAATCATGTAATTTACCTGGAAATAGTCATCCAATAAATAAATAAATACTTAAACCACATAAATTATGTTTTATCATTTTGATAAATGTATGAACAAAGTACCTGATAAATTTGCATATTATAAGTTATTAAGCATAATATCAGAAAATTATGAAAATATTAAATATAACATGGGTCCTTCTTTGTGTAGGAAGTATCATGTTGTCTAGTTATTCTATATATTATTTTAATCTGACAAGATTGATCAAATTAATATTAGAATAAATTGGTGCATAAAGCAGATACAAAGAAGCATCTACCGAGGGTAAGAGGTTTGTATTATAATGTACATTTTTTACTTGAATCAGGATAGAAAATAAATTGTTGCATTATTCACAAGTGTTGTATAATATGCATGGCATGAAATTTACTTTTATTTAAGTACTATACGATTATTAAAACTTATTATGAACTTATTTTTAGGCAAGATTTTCATACGCAAAACTCAATTTATAAATATCCTATTAGTAACTATATATTTTTTAAATACCTAAAATATAACCAGAATAATGACGAACGATGAGTGATGCAAAAACAATGTAATCAAAGCATGCAGCAGTAGCTAGGAGATGAGTTTCAAATGTTAAGTTGTTGTTTTGTACTGCAATAAAAATTGGGGATTTGACAATTAAAACCAAATGATGAATGTTTCATGAAAATAGAATGCCTAGTGGGGATTCAAGAATCTCGCACCCCCTGGTGTTTGTTGCTGCTCAAGTTGGTAGTACTGTGTTGAAAGGTGATGGTAGTAGTGGATGTGGTAGTGGTGATGATGAAGAATTCAATAAAGTTGAATCTATAATAAATAACCTGCCAAAAGTATTTATTCTCATTAATTTTAAATTATATAATAGTATTTTAATACAAGATTTACCCTTCCACAGTAATTTAATTTAAATTAATATAAAAATAAATAATAAACTATAGGTGGATATGCAGATTTAAAAATTTCAGTTTAAACAAAAGCTGATAGGATAAAGAACATTACCTATGTACAGGTGATTTATCTCTGGAACGTTTGCCAGTTGACATTTGAACAACAATTCTGGATCCACAACATCTTCTAAAATTGTACACAAATACATAACAATTATATATCATCTATATATACATGTAGAAGATTATTAATTTATTTTTCAAGATAACAATAGGACAAATTGAATATGGTTGCTTATGAGCTAAGTTCATAATTTATAGTAAAATGTATAATTTGAAGCAAAATCAAAAAAAAAAAATTGTATGGTTCATTAATCAAGATAATTATAATATTTTCTTAGATAAGACATAATAATACAATATTTTATACATAATATAGTGAAAATGAGATACATAATAAGATACACTACGATAAAATTTCACTTTACTTTGCAAAATAAGCAAAAATATTTGTGTAAGATCATTGGCGCATACTAATTGGGTCCCAAATTCAAATTGTATACCAAAACATACCTACTGTTCAAGTTGGGTCCTAGAAAAAAAAACATTTTGCTTCCCATTTTAACAGACTTAGGACTGTCTGTATTTTAACATTTAGTTATCACAGGTATGGTTAAAAATGATTTCTCTGTTTTGCATGTTTTCTCGTACATTTAATTTTTTAATGTTATATAATTGTTGAGATTAATTAATTGTTTGTTATCTGGCTGTTATTAGTTGAAAGTTAAAAGTTAATAATAGAATAACATAATAAAATATACAAAAGAATACTTAGAAGTTAATAATTGGGTTGGCATTTATAAGGTGCAGATTTAACATATCCATGGCAAATAATTTTTCACAATATTTATTTGCTTACAAAATCTTCATTAGATATAATGCAGTTTCTTCTTCTTCCTTTTAGACTTATCATTTTAATATTAACTTCAATTTGAATATACTTTAAGACATGTATAAATTAAAATATATTAAGGTGAAGAGAATAAAACATAGAATTGAAGTGTGAATGAAAGAATTCCTATGCATTTGTAGTTCTTATTGTCCTAGGTTTAAGTTCGGACCTTAAATTTGGTCAGGATGAACATAATTTTCTAATAAATATTCTGTGAACTTTTGCAGTAATTTGTCATCTGGTAGAATAGTAACCAAATTATTTTTAAAACAATTTCCTACTGCATTAGGAAGTAAGAATGAAGGTCCGAAAAAACATTTTAGGTTATTCCCCCTATCTATGATTTTGTTTTTATGAACACCACATTATCCTAAAATCCGGAACTTATTGGATCACCATAAATCCATCAATTTTGGACTATATGAAATCTACAACATTTTATATTTATTTCTTGCAAGCTGTGTTAATTGCTACTTCAAAATAAGTACAGAATCCATATTATATTTGTATTTTATACAACTACAATATGACAAAACATTTTATACCCTAGACCCAACACTAACAAAATTTAAAACTAATTATTTTCTGACCCAACTCAGATGCAGCCATGATCATTTGTTATTCTTGAGCAGTGGTTCTCAGTCTTTTTTGGTGCACAAAACAATATCGAAGTATTATCAAACCGTATTTTTATTATACATCACAAGTTTTTATGGCACACTCAAGCGCTTAACAACCATAGTAACTTCGGCAACTATGCCGGAAGCAATAATTATCAACACGAGCCTATAAAAGTATCACATTTTTTTGCAGCACAAGGGTTGGGAACCACTGTTCTAGAGAAACAATGCTAAAAATAATCATTTTCAACTATGGAAATTAATGCCAATGTAAATGATAAAATATTAACCTAAATCATTGAAAATATCTACTGTTATACGGGTTTTGAAATATTTAAATAAAAAACACAACTTTTTACAAATTATTTCTGATTAATTTTAAGTGTACAACATCAAAATTTCTGACAGCAATAACTGATATTATTCATCATAAATTATATTTAAAACAACTTCTATAAACTATTCATTTCAGATAAAAAATAAGTTATCAACATAAAAATGTCTGACAGGGATAACTGATATTATTCATCATTATTATATTTAAAACTAACTATTAATTTCAGGAAAATTAATGTTAAGACTATATTACAACTTACTAATAATTTCAGGTAAAATTTAAGTTATCATCATAGAAATGTCTGACAGGGATAACTGATATTATTCATCATTAATACATTTAAAACTTACTAATAATTTCAGGTAAAATTTAAGTTATCATCATAGAAATGTCTGACAGGGATAACTGATATTATTCATCATTAATACATTTAAAACTAACTAATAATTTCAGGTAAAATTTAAGTTATCATCATAGAAATGTCTGACAGGGATAACTGATATTATTCATCATTAATACATTTAAAACTAACTAATAATTTCAGGTAAAATTTAAGTTATCATCATAGAAATGTCTGACAGGGATAACTGATATTATTCATCATTAATACATTTAAAACTAACTAATAATTTCAGGTAAAATTTAAGTTATCATCATAGAAATGTCTGACAGGGATAACTGATATTATTCATCATTAATACATTTAAAACTAACTAATAATTTCAGGTAAAATAAAAGTTATCAACATAGAAATGTCTGACAGGGATAACTGATATTATTCATCATTAATACATTTAAAACTAACTATTAATTTCAGGTAAAATAAAAGTTATCAACATAGAAATGTCTGACAGGGATAACTGATATTATTCATCATTAATACATTTAAAACTAACTATTAATTTCAGGTAAAATAAAAGTTATCAACATAGAAATGTCTGACAGGGATAACTGATATTATTCATCATTAATACATTTAAAACTAACTATTAATTTCAGGTAAAATAAAAGTTATCAACATAGAAATGTCTGACAGGGATAACTGATATTATTCATCATTAATACATTTAAGACTATATTACAACTTAATATTAATTTCAGATAAAATTTAAGTTATCAACATAGAAATGTCTGACAGGGATAACTGTTATTATTCATCATCAATAAATTTACACCCGGTTGCAAAATCAATCATTAAACATATATATGCCGGGTTGCATGAACGCCCGTTAAATGTTTAACGAGCCGTTAGCGCGCTAACAAATGATTAAAATTGTATTCATCTGTTAAACAATCTTTAAACGTTCAATAGTTTTATTGGGCCGTTAAAATATAGGTTACCAGCTCATTAAACTAATGGGCCGATTTCGGCTCTTTAAATTTCAATCATTCGATAATCCTACAGTTATCATGCATACGTATTCAGGTGTCAGTAGTACGTCGTCACTATACCTACCCTGTAGTTGGTCGTACTTCCTAAATGTTTTTCTTAATACTTATAAGCTGTAACCGAAAATAGTAAAAATGTTGATTTCTGATTCAAGTTTATCGATTTCCGATGATGAATTTGTTTTGGATATTTTGTATCATTTACCTAGACCGAGGTTATTTAGAGATCGATCAAATCCTTTGGAGGAATTTGATGAAATCGATTTTAAGTGTCGATTTAGGTAAGTAATAAGGTGTTTTAAAAACATTGTTACATATTTAAATGTTAATAACACCAAACCAGTTTTATTATATTATTTAAATTCTAAATAAGTATTATGTTTTATTTATAACAAAAATCTAAAAATATTCCATCCTAATGCAGTACAAATCATTAATAGTCCTACTGGGCCTGTACTAGGCCAGTCGGACTTTTCCACCTATCCGCCCTGGGCAGTCTACTCATATATATTATTATCCTTATATATAGGTAAGAACTACCTATATATAATGCATGAATGGCATAGTCGTAACTAGTCCTTAAAGTTATGGGGGTGGCTAGATTCCAAAAAAATGTTTATAGCGATTTTTTTTAAATTAGATTATTATTTTTCATTGGTTTCTATTGATGTTTACAACTGACTTGAATGATTATTCGTTTATATTAAACATTATATTTTTTATATTGTAGTCAAAAATAAAGTTAATACTAATTTATAAATATTTATCATTTATTTACTATTATATAAACACATACATTTATCCAAAAATTCTGGGGGGCTGCAGCCCACCCCTAGTTACGCCTACAATGAATGGTAGTTTAATACAAAATACACTAAAATGTACATGATTTTTAATTTAAAAACAGGCTATCAAAGGAAACATTTGGTTTTTTATGTAATTTGATTGGCGAAGAATTACGTAATTCTCGTAGAAGTTTTGCGATTTCTCCAGAAATTCAAATTTTAGTAACATTACGTTATTATGCAACAGGAGCATTTCAAGTATTTTAAATAATATAGACAATATACTAGTATAATATTATATTCTAATATATTCTAAGTTATCAAGTAGATCTAAGGACCCTTTGCCATTAATAATAAAGTTCTCAGAATGAAAACCTGCCTCTCACTTGTATAAAATATAAATTAAAATGTATTTATACAATTACAAACTACCTACTAAGTAGGTAGGTACTTACGGTGATCGGAAAAAAAATCCCCAGACTACAATATTACTCACAACCACATGCAAATGGTTGAATAAATATTTTTTAAACGTATATTATATTATATTTTTAATTTAAGCTAACAATATAAAATTTAATATTTTTTGCACACGATCGTGGTGTACTACTTGATAGTTGATATTATATTAGGTAGGAATTTGTTTATAAATATTTTGGAATAATTCATTAGGCTGTCATTGGAGATCATGTGCACGTACATAAATCGACCATTTGTAGAACAATAAAACGTGTATCACAAGCGATTTGTCGTCTTCGATCTCAGTTCATTGATTTTCAATAATTGGCTTAAAAGGCAATATCAAGTCAATTAATAGCTCTTTTTCCCTTTCAGTAAAGTTTTTTCCTCTCATACGTTTCTGTTTTAACTGACTCTCATTTATATTATGTTCAGACATTATTTATAATATTTAGGTAATTACAATTGCTAAAAAAACACGAAACTTATAAAATGTGTACAAAACAACAGAACCGAAAACGCCGAAGAAAGATTAAGTACAGACTAGTAGACTACAAATTCACAATTTGTAGAATTTAGCAATTATTGTTATTATACATATTCAAAATAAAAGTTCAAACAGCTGTTGATACAGTATCTAGATCATAGGATTTTATCACTTTTTCTGTGATAAACTTAAATTTCTACACTAACCTCGGATCATGTTTAATACCAATATATTTTTATTGTACGATTTGTGCAACCCAAACGATTCTGTAAAACGATTTAACGGCTCGTTAAAACTGTTCATTAAATAAATTTAAAGTTCGGTTTCATGCAACCCGGCAATAATATGTTTATATTTTAATGATTCAATAGTGAGTGAACATGATTTAGTGGCCCATGTGTCCCATTAAATTTTTATTTTTATGCAACTTGGCGATAATTATATTATTTTAAGGTATATAAATGGTTAGTTTTAGATAAATCTTAGTTATCACCATATTTATTAATATAAATTATTGATTAATATTATGTAATGGTCTTACGTTCCATCTAAACCACGAACAGCATCCTCTGCATCACGAGGGTCTTCATATTCTATGAAAGCAAAACCAGGTGGATTCCTTGCTATCCAAATATTTTTCAATGGACCATACTTGGTAAACAAATCTTCTATTTCATACTTATTGGCATTGCTTTTTAAATTACCAATATATACTTTACAAGTTGGATCCCATTCACGGTGTTTGGACATGTTTTTGTCTTCTATCTATAAACATATGTTATGACATTTCAGTTATACACAATATGTACCTTTAATGATATTGTTAATGATTTATTAAACTTGTTAATCCTGGATTTTGGGTTTATAGTCTATAACTGATTATTCTAAGAGAAAAAGAAAATTGTGTCAAAGTAATTATAAAAAGATAATGTAATATTTCATAAACATACAATGCACATTTTTATGATATACTGGTATTAACAAAAAGATTAAATTTAGTTTAATATATTTATTTTAGGCTTGGCATGAAATTGATATACTATGATACAGAATATTGAGAATTGTGTTTTATAGACACAAAGACATTCTTGGATGAATAGAGTACATATTATGTTCTCTATATTGTCTAAAATAATATCCATATCAGGTTTACGAGCATTTAAGCCATTTTGGTACAAAGAAAATTATACTGAAGCAGTAATAATAACTAATATTATAAGACAACAAAAAATAAACATATAAATATAAAACAATTGTTTAGTAAGAATATTAGGTTAAAAAAAAATTCATTAACAAGGAAAATTCTTTTTCTTGGTTGTTGTTTATAACATTTTATTTCAGTAACTATTATTATTTTATAATATAAATTAAAACGACATAATTAAGATAGTTAACTATCTAAATGAATATTCTAACTACATAAAAATGCACAACGTATACAGCAGTTTAGGTGTAACTGTGCAAACTATAATTTCAGATAATAATGGAAATGTGATATTTGCCTTGAAGTCAACATCTATTAAATATAAATAATAATAATAAATTAAAAATGAGCTGAGACTAAATCCATCTATGGAACCTTAATAAAAGACAAACCTATGTTATAATGCTTAAGAATATAAAATTATAATTAATAACCAACTTGGGCACAGCCACAATTAAAATAGGGAAAACAAAAAAATTATTAAAATGTTTGAGAATTCATTGACGAACTGAAATTATGAAATTTAATGGTTATTTAATGCGTAGATAGTTTGAAGTACTTACCGTTTTAGTGTTGAACACCAAAACTTCATTTACTATACAATATTCAATAAATTAGAATTGTAAATTACACGTGAGTTTCAGCTGTATTAAACGAAAGAAAAAGACAAAAAACAACTCGAGTACAGCAGAAACTACTCAAAAAGATAATTAGGTTGTATAAAAAATGCAATTTTATCACTATCAACAACTGTCAAGCGAAAGAATTTTGAAGTCAATTATTATTAAACACAAAGATTTATGACCATTTTTAATACTAAGTTGATACTTGATATCAGTTACACGTACTTATGCGTGCAGTTTCAATAACCGGTGACGTTGAGAAATGACTAATGCTAATGAAAATCGAGTACAAACCACGAGGGCCTAGAGACCAGAGGGCATAGAGTATAGACGAGTTAGCAAATTTTATCATTAGCCATCGCCCACCGCAACATTATGAATCAAACAAAAAATATTAAAAATGAACGTTCGACTTTCGGGCACTTGAATTGTGAACTAGTGGCTCGACTACTCAGTACCGTCAATATTGTTCTATGTCAGTACTCGACCAGTCGACGACCGACGTCGACCTGTATTGTTGAATAGTTGTTTGACAAACCAAAATGGCTTCCGCACGTCCGCACCATAACGGAATATTATCAATCTATCATGTAATTATTATCTGTTACATAACCTGCTGATAAGCTTAAATGTCTATGGCCATTGGCCGCGGCTACCGGGATGTTGATCTCTTCCCTACATTGTGGCCTCTATCAAATATTCTCTGAATTTATTTTTGTTTTCTGTTCAAGACTCAAGTATAGGGAGTTGGGACCACGGCTTTAGATAGAAATTCTACCTAAAGCCGTGGTTGGGACAATAAATATATTTTTGGAATTTAAAATATGTAACCGCAATGGCAACTTACTATTTAAATAAACAAAAAATTCTTGTGTGTGCTACCCTCTGGACTAGGGATCTTCAACCTTTTTATGCAGCGGGCTGCGTATTATTATTTTAATTATCTTGCGGGCCGCATTCGTAGTAAAAAGTAAAAACATGTAATACAAAAATTCAGTTTTATTAATATAATTTTTTTGATTACATTGTTTATTACAAATTATTAATTTATTAATCTTATCACATACTTCCGATAGCGATGGCTTAACCGTTATAATTTTTTTTTATATAGAAAATATACTTGATAAATTTCAAATGTGACCGCGGGTCGCATTTTATGACAGGGCGCGCGGGTTTAAGACCTCTGCTTTAGACCTACAGCCCATGCCCCATAAGCTGGTTACGCACGGAGCGGGTCGTCCGCTCATGGTCGTGGTTTTTATTCGCCGCGGATTTTCTTTAACAATTAAACACCTATATTTAAAATTTAAATGGGTATATTCAACGAAGTAAAATGGCTAGCGGACGACCGCATCCGCTAGCTAAAATTAAACTATGGATTTCCAATAACTATATTCAATATTATTCATACGAGGCGGATCGTCCGCTAACCACCGGGGTTTTTTTCCAGCTTATTTGTTATTTATAATCCGCGGACATGATAGTGGTCGAAATCCACGTCCGCGCAAGGTCATTCCGCCTCGTGTGTAAGTAAGGCGCGGATGAGGTGGCGGACGAAGTCCCAAAAAGAATCCGCGTCCGCGCGGGCGATCCACTCCGTGTGTACTGTGTAACCAGCTATAGTTTGAACAAATAAGCTGTAAATACTCCCTCACAAGTCACTGGGAACCTATCAATATAACTTTTATTGAAAACGATAAGGTAGTTTCTGTTTCTATTAACTTTGGATTAACTAACAAATAACAATCAACATACATTTTTAACTTTATAACCCGATTTCACGCACAAAAAATAAAAGCTATAGCGCTGTATAAGTGCTTCTTAGTTGAATATAATTTTAAATGTAAATCGCGTTGGAGTACTTCGATTTGTGAACTATTGCGATCAGGATGCACAATTTGCCTGAGGCAGATTGGATGTAGGCATACAGCACTTGGTGTAAATCGGAAGTGTTACTCTAATATTTTTCCTGATATAACTTCCATCGATCGATCAAGTAGTCTCCGAGACTCAGAGTATACAAGTTACAAACATACATTCAACTTTCATAATAGTTTTAATTTACAATTTATTCGAGAACATAAAGGTGATGATTTGATGCACGCGCTTTTATATCCTATGCTGGTGTAAAAATGGCAACCATTTTATACTTAAAAATACGAATTCTTACTATCAATATTTTAATCAGTAAAACTAACTGATAGAAATCATTTATGAACTAAAAAAAAAAATTCCAATTTCTATTCGTAAATCTCAAAATCCTTAAGTGAACACCTCATTAAAATTTCGAATTTTGAAAACCTTTTTTAATGCAACCCCACATGGTCAAGATAACATAAAAGATTTTAAGACTCCAACTAATTGGCAGTTATCATTGTTTAAACTTTACAACGTACATCACTAGACGGACAAAAAACCACAGTTTTAATATTCACTTAGTATAAAAATGGAAATTTAATCAACAGTGAATGTTTCAAGTTTTTAAATTAATATTTTTTGAAAAACAGCAAAAAAAAAATTTATTTTACGTTATCTTTTTAGTAGAAATTCTAGCTTCACACTCGTATAAAACTATAAATGAAATTACGCTTTTTTTTAAAACAGAAACATATATGAAATCTTATATTACATATTTAAATCATATATATGAGTATAAAAATTAATGCATTTTTAATCCCAAATAATTTAGATTTTTAAGATTCTGATGAATTATGTTAAAATTTGAAACACTTAAAAAATATATTGTGCATTTTCAAAATGTTATAATTAGTATATGAACAACTTATGAGAACTTTGTATTAAAATGTCAAACATTTTCACAAATCAACAAAATGTCATCATACATAACTGGCAAAAAAACTAAAAAATTCAAATTACCTAAATAGAGCAAAAAAGTTTCAATATTACATCACATCAACTGAATGCTTAAATTAATATTTGGTGAAAGTGTCAAGTCCCTATAATTATTTATTTATTTGGAACAAAAACAAAATTTTGTTAAGAAACAACAAGTTTTTTACATGAAAATTCCAGTTTTTAATTATTGTTTTTTGTTTTTCCTGTTTATTCTGAAATGTACTTGGTTTTTACTTTTGACCCAACAGTGGCCCAGGATACCAATAAGACCCAATTTGCTAACAAAAACCAATGCAACATAGTTTGCAACACAATTTGTGTTCAATAGAACCAATATTTTGGTATCTTTAATATTGAGTGAAATTAACTATTTTCAAACTTAATTTAGTAAATTATTTGTGTTTTGAAGTTGGTTTTTTTACAATATTCTAATTTTTATATTAAAAGTTATGACTTTATGAGTATGTAAAATGTTACAATTAAAAAATGCACTTATATATCACAGAAAAATTGAAAAATATCTATAGTACAAACACAGGTAATGTTCTTAATTGTAAGTTAGATAACATACTATTCACCAGCTTACGACACAAAATTGATTTTGCTAAAATCAATTTGCTATGTTGTACTTGGGTTATAGAAAGAAAATAAATACTGCACTGACATCCTCAAAGTTGAATGTTTTTTTTTTTTTTTGGTAGTCTTGTAATTAATAATTGTATATAATATTTAAAAATTAATTGAGTACTATTTGTATCTTCTTTATTGAAGTAAATGATGCAATAAATACACATATTGTGAAATAGTAATTGTTCACATTTTTAGCCTGTTTGTGGTTTTGAAGGCTGTATTGTTTCTCCACCACGAATTAAACCCCATCCAATAAGTCTGTAATACAACAAAAAAAATATATAATACACAACTTTATACTCTATTCCAAAAGAGAGTAATCAGTTTGGCTGGATGTACAGCATACATTAATAAGTGGTTTGACGTTAATTTCAATAGTCATAAAAGTTTGTACATAATTTTTGGGAAACGTTAACTAGCAATGTCAGGGAAATTTTGATGTGGCAGGCATCAGTCAAATGCAAAAAATTGATTATTATCTATGGTAACAGAGTATCAAACCAACTTTTTATGTATTAATAGTTTTAAATTGTATTTACCTCCAATGCTTTTCAACTCGACGACTCAGTGAAATCTTTTCACCAATTTCTGTACATACTGGTGTAGTTAAACTGATTTTAGCTAAATCAGCTTTTGTAGCTAAAACTCTTCCACCAGTGGACAAAGATCCAATATTTAACAACAGCACCTCATTTTTTGATAATCGTTGAACCTGTATATTAAAAATAAATAAGTAATTTGGTTTGGTGTTTAATATCTATAACATATAATTAATATATACCTTAGCTGCTTTCTTATCCCCTTCAGTACGAACACCTAATAATCGCTTGAGCAAATAGTATGAAACTTCTAACTCAATAAATATATCTGGTAATGCTCCAACTGCTCCTAATACTTGTCCAACAAGACGATCAGCCCTGCATAATGTAGGTTCAATTTTGGTTCCAACACCAATAAGTCCTCCAGGAACAGCAAAGTTCAACTCGTTTTGTTCCGTGTACAAAGACACAATACGTGAGAAAATTGGTTGACAGGTTAATTTACCTTCACTGTCTTTAGATACTAAGCCAGGACGTACTTCAATTTCCATTCCAACTTTTAAAACCCCACGCAAAATACTACCACCAGCAACTCCTCCTTTAAGATCATCTACCTCACATCCAGGTTTGTTGACATCAAATGATCGAACAACAATAAGGCGTGGGGGTGATGTGAAATCCCTTTCAGGAATTGGGATTTTTTTGTAGATATATTCACATAATACTTCCATGTTGTATTTGAGCTGAGCTGATATAGGTATAATAGGTGCACCTTCAGCTACGGTTCCTTGAACAAACTTTTGTATCTGTTCCTGTTGTTCTTTTGCTTGACCTTCTTTCACCAAATCAATCTTGTTTTGCAAAATTATGACATTGTTTAGCTTCATGATTTCTATAGCAGCCAAGTGTTCTGATGTTTGTGGTTGAGGGCAAGATTCATTCCCAGCTTAAAAACAACAAATAAATGGGTAAAACATAAAAATAACCGAATACTATTTAATAAATAAACATACGTATTTGTCATTATTTTACCTATAAGTAATAATGCAGCGTCCATAACTGCAGCTCCATTCAACATAGTAGCCATAAGAATGTCGTGACCAGGGCAGTCTACAAAAGACACATGTCTAACTAATTCAAATCTTCCTGGACAACCAGGTCTAGAACAAGGTAATGAGTCATCACGGCCTGATCCACCGGACACAAAACAAGCAGGTCGTGGACACTTATCAAAATTGCATTTGTAAATTTTTGCATTGGCATATCCTAAATAAGAAAAATAATAACATTATACTATTTTTTTTTTAAATTTACAAGCAGATATTTAATTTTTTTTATTTTCAAGGTAAGACTAAAAATTTTGATTGACTATGTTGACAAGAATCATATTATTACAAGATAAAACAATTTATCATAATATATTTAAAATTATAAATTAACATTTATGACAACCTTATTAACGCATCAGACTAAAAAAATGATAGAAACTTTAATAAATTAAAAATAACAGCGTATATTTTATATCACCAACAACATTTAATTCTATGTTTTCAAAGAATCGGTATTCTTACTATGGAAAAAGTCATTAGTTAGTAGTTTGCCAGAAAAAAATCTTTCTATTGCAAAAAAAAAAGCTAATTGTAGGTTTCTATCCAAGCAATTAATAGACACAGCATGAATGAATAATTTCCGTTTGCATAAACGACCTATACATTTGATGAAATTGGGTTGATATGTACTTTTTTGATTATCAAAGCCCAAGTTCCAAATTAAATCAATAGAAGATGAAGAATTTTCTATGTATGTGCTTACCAACTGACTTTCCTCAATATTTAATTAGTCCTTAACGCCTTAAGTACTTGTCTTATAAACACAACCATTATCAGAAAAGGACAATTAGCAATGAAGGCCAAAGTTGAACCACTCTTAATGCAGGATAATGAATAAGTACATTTTTAATTACATTCAAATATTGGATAACCAGGTAATACCGTAATATTTGTATTATATCTTAAGCTTCTAGATAACCAGATACTTCATTGCAAGGATAAATAGATAAGACATTCAATTGTACAAGGATAACCAATTGATTTGACTGTTAGAGATTAAGATCTATGGCTTTACTATCTATCTTTACCACTAATTTGTAATTCTGTGGAACTAGATTTATATCATGCTCCTACCGTTTTGAGCACAACTAATTATTGTTGCCTAAAACCATACAAAAAATATGCAGTAAAATAAAAGATTAAGCATTCTTTTTGGAATGTTTGAATATATATATTTTTTTTTCAACCAACATTGATGCTATCAAATAAATCATACATATCTTGAGGTAATAGTAGTGCCACAAATAAACCAGTATTAGTTCTGAATTTGCAATAATTTTTCTAAATTAGACGCTTTTTGACATTTTGTTTTCATGTTCATTATAATTTATAAGTATTTCAATTTTGTTTATAAATATAGTCAAGTACATGGTTTGTAGACTTACATAGAACACTTAATTGTTTCTATGTATTAAATCTTCCAGACTTTTTTCCCCTTTTACTAAATTGGGATATATACATCAGTAGTCTGTGTTACTGCTCAGTAGTTACTAATAAGTTACTCTCAAGATTTCAGATCATAATTATTTTTTCTATTCTATCTTCAAGTATAAAACATTTTATTTTATGTCCAAGAAGCATATCAGATCATGTGACATTGATTTTCCAAAATTCCACTCCTAACATATGAGGTTAGCTGCTATTTTGAATAATTTGTAATAACATCAATATTTTCCAAATACTTATCAGCAAATAATTAAGTAATATTGTTATGGTCTAGACCAGAGGTCAGAAATTAATTTCTAATGGGGTCCGGATGATTTGAAAAAAAAATGATTAGGTCCAGAAAACTTTTCTTGTTTAACAAGTCATTTTTGTCCTCTTAACATTACATGTACTTTTCTGGATATTATGATTTTTTGAGCCAACAACATATTTATAAATAAAAACAGCTGTCAATATTTTTGTATACAATCCTGAAAGATTATTACCACAGGGCAAAATTGTACTTAAATTACAAATATAAACAATTATTTTACAAACTTAAAAATAGTGCACATCATCAGAAAATTGAGATTCAAACATCAAAATATTATGAAAACATCCAATACTATAAAATATGAAATATTACTAAACAAATACTTTCCCTCAATAACCAACAATTCAGAGCTATAATATTCATCCAAATGGCCTAGAGACCTACTCAATCTCGGAAGCAAATTGTAAATAATTCATTATAATAAACAAACCTTTAAGAAAAACAAAAATATAATAAGTTATAATTATTTACACAATTATGTCGGTTTTAAAACAATGCTTATATATGTCCAAAACACAATATAAAAAGTTCATTAATATTGATGAGTAGCTGTGCTACTTGAAATATGTTAGAATTAAAAAAAATATATTATTATGAAGCAGCCCATGTGCTTAAGTTATATACAGTTATATTGACAATTGTAATATTATACAACAATACATATTCAGCTTTACATATGTATGTGTCATATCAGTGATCAATTATTTATTTAATATTAATTATTACTTCTGTTTAAACATTAAAAGTTGAAACATAAATTAATGCTTAATAAACTTAATAAATATCATCAAAACATAAAAAAAACGTTATATATATAACCATTACCACCCGTAACATATTTTTTTATTTATTTAACTATATTTTTGAACAAAAATGTATCAAAATCTTTTGCCTAGAAAACTTATTACCTATTATTTATTTTGCCAAATATTAAAAAAATAATTTTTCATTACTTTATTAAACATAATACAAACATAGTTACATAACTTAAGCAATTACATTTAAATATTTATTTACTTAAGTTTTTTGATGATTTACAATTTAGTCAACAATACAAACTAAATTAAAAGCGGCCCTTTTATTACTTAAATGTAATCAGTTAAAGATAAAAATATTATTATGTCCATAATAACAGGTGATGAGCAATTTAAACATTACTTTTTGGAAAGACCTCAATCTTATTATAAATTCAAAATGATAAAACAAACTCTTATATGGTAATTTATTAGTGACTGTTATTGTAATGATAATAGAAGCATCATAAATGGTGATGTACACATTTATTTGCAATTATATAATTATATCAACAACAGATATTCGAATGATACATACAATATCCAAAATAGTCCTAAATTAATACCAATGGAGGAAACTAACTTCCTAAACTTTGATATTTAATAATTTTAGTAATACTTCAGGCTGTGGTTGGTTATATGAATGTACTAACATATTAAAAATGTATACTAACTATTATATACAAAACACTAATACTGGAACTTATACATTTTCACCATTTTGTTTTGGTTATGTTATTACTAAAAAAAATATCAAACATACACAGAAGTATTAAAGTTTGAATGTTATCACTCTAAAAAAAAAATGGAAACAAATTTAAAATAACCTTACATTTTCTTATTACTTTATTTCTATTGAAATGTAAAATATTTTTTATTACTCAAATTAAATTTTACACAACATGAAGTTTCATGACACTATTAATAACTTTTACATATTTGAGAACAACATTGAACCAATAACAATTTAATCATTAAATGCTTGATACAGTAATGCCATACAAATAATTATCAATACAACAAATCATAATTTTGAATTGTTACAAGCTTATTGTTTTTAAGATAGATCAACTAGCTTCTATTCACCACCCATAAATGAAAGACACATTATAAACTAACTAATATATAGGGAGCGGATCCATGATCAATTGCTGTGTGTTCAATTACATATTTAAATCATAAAATAATAATTGAATAAAGTTGAATGCAAGTAATCGAAGTACGAACAAGTTACTATAGAACAGTATGCAAGAAATTCATCTAAACGATTAACTTAAGTAAGAAGGTATAAGGAGGTTAGATATAAGTTGATAGTAAGCAAACTTTATAATATCGAACTCTTAAAATTTAAACTTAGTTGGTGAAAAATATGCTTTTAACAGCTGGTGGTTACACGGCTATTTTTCCTACAAAGCCATGTTATATTTCCAATGTCATTCCAAAGTAATACAACTAAATTTTTTTATTAATTTTTAAAATATATCTCAGGTTTTTTTTTATGATTTTGAACAAGTGTCTGGGGCATTTCATTCAAATAGATGCATCGCAACCCATTATAAACTAGTAAACAACATTAATGGTTATTGGTTATAAGTGAATAATTTTTACTAACTTACTCAATTTGATTTTGAAAATCAATGATTGTAAATAATATAAGTGAATATATTAATTATCTAAGTCAATACTAAACAAATACATTAAAATAGTAATAATGTGTATTCACTTTATTACTATAATGTTAATTATATTGAAATAAACAACAGTGTAAAATATAATTAAAGCATATGTTAAATATTCATAAAATAGGCCAGTTGTAATATTTACCTAATTTAATCGTGATATTTCTTTCGAGTTCATTTTTAAATCGTACAGTTTGAACACCAGAAACAGCTTTTACAATAGTTGATTTTCCGTGCGCTACATGACCAATTGTTCCTGAAAAATATATGCGTATTTTAATGTTATCATAGCTCAAAACAAAAAATAAATAAACCTGTGCAATGACACACATACAAAATTAAACAGAGATAGCTATACACAAAGTGAAACTTAACTTAAGTAGTACTTACTACTTATTAATAATTACCTATATTCATTAATTTACACATAATAAATACATTTTAATTCCCAATATAATAATATACATACATTATTTATGGGCCATAAAAACTAAATTATGGAGTAGCAGTTTCTACCCTTAGAATTCTCTATCGTGGGCCACTGTGTGTACAGGTCAACAATAACCAAGTAAGTTGACAGTTAATGAATACTAAAAAAAAAATAGGAAACCTTATAACTTACCAATATTGATTGTAGCCTGACGACTGATAACTTCGGGTGAAGATGGTGTAAGTTTAGAAATGTCCTGTAGGAAAATGATGCTAATTATTAGGAAATCATTCATAATGACACACTAACTAAAGTGGATATTTACCAAATGTTCTAAATCTTGCTCCTTGAGTTTTGCGGACGGAGGAGCGTCAAACATTTTGGCTACCGGATATAAGAATACAACAGTACAGAGTCAATTAAACGAATTGGCTATTTTCAAGACTGATGTAAATAATTATATTTTAGGAATAAAAGCATCAACCCTAGGGCCAAGACTCTGAATACGGCGAGAAATTAGTCACAAATCACAATCATTATTTTATCATAGTCCATAGACCTATTAGCACATGGACTGCGCGTCGGCGCATGGAGAGAGAAAACATTAGTGAACCCTGAACATCGATGAAGAGGGTATTAACTCGGAATCATGGAAGAATAATTTACAATTTCTTTTTAAATTTCAAATTATTTTTTTTGATTGATCATTAACATTAATAATATAATACACAAAATTGTTTATTAATTATTATATTATTTAGGTATTTCAAAATTTTACCCAATTTCTGCCTACTTTTTTGTCCTGGACGGATGGACAAGTACGATGTACATGTACCTATAAGGTATATTATTGTTCACACATAAAACTAAAAAAAGTTTAAAAATATTTAATATCTTTAGTTAACTAGCATAAAAAAGCCAAAATATTTTTAAAATTGTATCATGTCTGGACGTTTAGTAAATGTCAATATGAATATTAGGTAAAAATAAACGTTTTCCATATTTTTTTTCGTTTTCTTGGTTATTTTTTAAAATAGGTACTGTGCATTTTAGACTTTTAAAAGTCTCTCCCCCTCCATAAACGAACTCAACCGTATAACGTTAGTAAAATGTTGAATTACGAATTAAGATGGTAAGAATTTTTAGAGATTTATTTTTTTTATAGATTTTAAACTTAGAATTCGAAAATATAAATACATATTATATTTGTATTCACTTTGGTTTATGGTGTGTAATCTATAAACTTTAAATTTATAAAACTGTACGCTGTATAATAATATTAATTTACTCTATACATATAACATAAATAATAAAATATGTAAGATGTACTTAGCCTTGGACTAGTTGGCCCTTACGTCTGTTGACTGTTACTACCTATATATTGAGTATATATATTTTTTTATTGATCTTTAAGTCCAGTGACTATAAGCTAAGAAGTGCACCTATTTTTTTTTTAGTTTTTATTTAAAAATCTAGTTCAACAATTTTAATACATTAAAATATTAACAAAGCAATATAAAAACAAATAGAATAATAAATTAAATAAAATAATTTATAACTAAAAAAAATAATAATAATAATAGTGAGATTAAGGTATATAACAAAAACTAAGAAGAGTATATTTGACAATACAGTTACTACCCATAACTTATAAGACCTAGCAGTGGTGGTCTAAGGATGATGCTTTGGAGCACCCACCATTCTGCATATATGACTTTTTTTTATTAGGGAATACTTAGATATCACTGTATCAGGTAGGTATCAACTTAACGTATTAATTGTGGACTACTGCCAAAAAATAAGTGTTTTTACCCAGAAGTTTTTCAATGATAAGTACCAGCTAAGAAGCTTTATTATCAACGGTATTTGGACGTTTCCCGCTAAATTAATATATATTTTTTATACACATTCAAATATATAGTGGAAGTAGACTGGACGCTCCCTTCGCTCAGGTTACGTCTACTACTAATGTAGTAATGTCCCACATTTCCTTATTGTTCTATTATATTGTATACAGATTATAAAATTATTTTAATAAAAATGTTATGTTGAAAAATAGCTTCTTTGGTTTTATATATCAAAATATATGATCATCTATCGACTATAATCATTCACGTTATGGATTTAGTTATGTAAATATTTAAGTATTAAAAAAACATTATATCCGGATAGAAGTGTACTGGTAAGTAATAAAATAGTGGCTACTGGCTAGTAACGTTTAAATTGTGTAGATTTAATATCATATGATATAGGTAGTAGGTACACTGTTTCCGTTTAACTCAAATACTCATTGCAATCAAAATACACGTCACATCAAACATGACGTGATGTTGAATGACAGTGGCGTGATATATTATTTGTTGCCTATGTATGGCCCCTTATGAATTGTTTTTTAAATTTATTTATTTTTAGATAGTACGATCATTGATATTTTTATATTTAATCAATGGTACGATGTGGTCACTTGCTATCTTTTATTTACATTTTTTAGTCTGTATTAAACAGAATTGTTCACTAGAAGCGCTAAAAAAGCCTTCTTAGCACTCCTGGCGGACAATACACTGTACTAAATGTCGTCTAATTACGACTCACATTTCGATACCCAGTGATTCCACAATACATCAGGTCTCTAATACAGTATATGGTCTACATAAAGAAACAATTATTAATATATTGAATGCCAAATGGAAAATAAGGTCCAAATATATTGAATAGTTTTCTAATTTACTATGAGGTGCCGGGCACACATTGATATTTATCGAAAAAAATGTTTGACTATGTATTAGAAAATTACATATCCGAAAGCTTTCAATATCCTCCCGAAAAGTGAGCCTTATTCACATAATATTCATTGGCGAGAACGGAGGACCACTAACAGTTGTGAATCCTTTCATTCGAAAATCAATGCTATGTTGTACTGACCCCATCCAAAGATTTGCCAATTTATAAATATTTTGTTAAATGTACAATGCGAAAAGTATACAAAAATTAGACGTGTTTCATATAATTTATATAAGAAATTATATAAAAGAAAATGAAATGAAACATCAAATACAACGGTTGCAATCAAACACATCACTATAGGTTTGAATATATACAATGCTTATCCCATCAATTTTATTTTATCGTTGTCTATATTTATTAAATTATACACATAATATTCATACTTTATTATACCCCTACAATCAAAATATATTTGTTATAATTATTTAAAGAAAAAACATTTTTAACCATACCTGTAGAATTTTTCGTTACAGACTGTCCTAAGTCGGTAAAAATGGGAGGGGAAATGTTTTTTGTTTTTTAAATTTGACAGGACTCTAGTATTATACCTACATTTTCACTGGACTCAATTGATATATACATTAAATCAAGCAGGGACTCAATTCGTCGTACAAGGTTAAACGTACCTGAGACTAAAACATCAATTCGCATGCAGCCATTCTATAATATCTGTTAACTATGAACCTGGCAGATGCGTTGTTGTATGTAATAACGAATAACGCAATAAACAAAATTTCGATTCGTATAGGGAGTATTAAACTTTATATAATATCTAGCTTTATCTTACTTGGTACAGTCCTGCTTTCAGTAATCTGAGGTGAGAACTGTTTGTTTAAACTACTTTTTCTATTTAATAAAAAATAAAATAGGTACATGCTTACAATATTTTTATAGATTACTTGTATACCAAAGTGTATCGCAGAAAGAGACATATCAAAATTTAGTCCCCCCCCCCAAGATTGCATTTTCTAAAAATTTGAAAATTTAATAGAAAAATAAATTATTCTGTGGCTTCTTAAATCCACAACTATTATACTATTAAACGTCTAGCGATAACAAAAAATTGTGAATACAATTACCACGGTCTGTAACAGAAATGTGTACACACCATTATGGTCAGACCTTATTAAAACGACTACGACATTATAGAATATTGGAATTCATAGCGGACCACTCAGACTGTCCACATACCTTCCAGCGAAGCTGGTTGCGATCATCGTTGCTAAATGGTCTTAGCTGCGAACAGCAGACCACTAGCCGTCTCACGCTCTGGTACATGGGCAACTCTCATCATCGTGGCCGATGACGACTCCAGATTTGCACCTGGAGGGGACGATGCATACTACAGAAATGATCCTGTGAAGTATGATCTTAAATAAGTTGCTGCCGCTAGCCCGAAGTTATATCAAACAACGGCTGCTTAACACGTGCAGTTGAACGCCCATCACATCAGATTTCAGCAGTTTGGGATCTTTGTTAATAAACTAAAATATCGCCTGACATACTTTGATTTATTTTAATGTCAGTTTTCTTATAGATCGCAAGACAACAGTGTTGAACGTTCTAAAAAGGCGTTAATAACACAACCTGAGGGCCCGTTCCAGTGAGCGTTTGACGGCAGAGCTATCTATCAACGGCTGCCGCCACACAACTATCATTAATACCGGCAGTATTTCTGTGATCAGTTCCCTAAAGAGTAGTATTTGATGTGTCGGTGATTCAGCATTCAGGCTGGTGCAGTGGTGCGTCGCATATATTATGTGGGTACAACCTGGTATATTGAAAGTCATATAGACCCATTAAATAATAAATATTTTTTTAAAAAACAAATGTATTAAAGCACACTAAAAACATTTGAATAATCACTTTAACGACTGTTGACGGTTATTTATCATTGTAAATTTTTTACTGTTTTGGCTGTCGGTCTGTGAACAAAGAAGGTAATTATAATAGTCAGTTTAAATTTACCAAGAATGCCTGTTTTAAGCGTTTTTACCATGTTCATTTTCCATCGATATAATATGCTGATTCATTTATCATCGATATTCGATATTGTTATTTGTTAAAAATATGACTATTTGTACACAGATAAGACGTAATAATAAACAATAATCCTTATTAAATTACTAAATCTAAATAAATAATTTGGTCATGCGTAATGCTTAAGAATTTCGTAAAATAAGGATAAAAAAAAATTACAAAAAACAAAGTGTTTAATATAGATCATTAGCTTTATTATTCTAAATTTTCAACTTACTCTAACTTTACCAATATTGACAATATTGTAATTCAGAAAATATTAGTTTTTTACGTACCAAAACGTTATAATATTTATAGTTCCTCAAATTTTGTACTTTGATATCCTAATTGAAAATAAGGAGATCAATTCACAAAATTAAAATTATAAAAATTAGATTAATATTTTGATAGAATATCATGGGTGATTATTATTAATTATACCCACTGCAATTCACAAATATTATTATTCCATAAAAAAAATAGTCAATACCAAAATGTAAGCCCAGTTGAAATGTTATTACTGAGTGGCGAGTACTAGCAATAAGTTTATGATGAACCACCAAACCAGATTTGCGGATCTAATTTTCATTTATTATAATCACCTCCTTTAGTAACACAATTAGTTTAACAAGACTTCTCACAATACTATGTCGCACTGACTAAGTTTAATATTTACACATCTGACATCTAATTAATTAATAAATAGATTGGCAATAAACAACGTAGGTATTATAATCAATAATAAATATTCATCCATTGAAGTTACATTTTAAGGTTTTATCACTATATTATTAACTCATTCAAATCTGCTGTATCTTTCGAGTATCCGATTAGGTGGTGCTTTATGTGACTTAACTAACTTTTGCTGTCCTGCTCAGTCCATTAGACCAAATTTAAAAACCTGTTTTTTTCTTAGCTCTGTTTCACTTCTACTGTATACTACTAATGCTCTTTCCTCTAATAAGTCTAGTAACATCACCTTAGTTAAAGCTGTCCTTTATTTCTATGTAGGATTTAAAATGTAATAATGTTATGTTTTTTTTATGGTTAAGATGATTGTTAATTTATATTCTGTTGATTATATTATCATATTAAATGAATGGAAAATGTGTTACATTTTTCAATTTGTATATGGTTAAAAATGTTTATTATTTTTCCATTAAATAGGTAGTTACTAGTTGTATACTATTGTCTACCAAGCTTAGGCTATAGTGTGTAGTAGGTACGGTACATAAGACAGTAAAAATAAAGGCTATTTAGATGTAGAATTCCTTAAAATCATTTTAGAAAAAAGAATAAGAACTAATATAGTAAATATTCAGATAGTGAAAGTAAAATTATATATTTTAAGATCAATGAAATCATAACGAAAAGTAAAATAAAATAAATTAATCTATTGCTTTTTTTTAATGTAAAAATGGAGGAACTAGTAATAATTAAAGAAAATACAGTACTATACATCGAGAAGACGCTACAACTGCAGATGTAGTGGCCACCACACGAATGTATAACATACCAAATTATATGTATGCTGAGAATAATCCATTAACTCTGTTATGTTTATAGACTTATAACATAATATTTTACTATAACTTTTAAGTCTATTGTTATGTTTAATATTAGTGAATTGACCCATAATTAAATTTAGAAATTAGATAATCTAGTGATTCTCATGGGTTTTTTTTAATATTTTAGTTTCAAGGAGAGTTATGGGTGTCTTAAAAAGTATAAACAATTTACAATTTATCTTATTATACTAATAAGTTATAAGTATAATAACATTTTGATTTTAGATCAAATTTAAATTTTCTTTGGTAAAACGTTTATAAAAATAAATGCAATGCCTTACATGAAAAATATATAATAAAAAAATGTTTAGTTTATTTATTTTATCTAAAGATTTTTAAATTTCAACATTTTTATTGGTGGACAATAGTTTTTCATATAATTTCCATAATCTATTATTTAGGTTCATTGTAAATTAACACTTAATTTTACAATACTAAAAATATAATAAAATATATGCATAAATATATATATTGCTTAATAATAATATTTAGAAGAGTCAACAATTATTAATTATTATAGTTAATTAATTAAATGAAATGTATTAATACAGGATAATTCTAAGTACCATTTAATAATACAATTAAAATTCATTGTCTATCGTACAAAAAATAACAATAATAAATTTAATGAAAGGTAAATACAAAGTAATACAAATTTGTTATTACTTAAAATAAATACAAAATAATAGGATAAATATTGATATTCTTGTAATTGTATTTATATTTTACCTCAAAAATTAACTTTATAAAAAATATATATGTATTGCTATATCTTAAATTGTATGCCAAAACGCGCTAAGTTTTTGCATAATATTTTTTTTAACAACATTTAGATGACACTATTTCAGCTGTTGGACAAGCAGCACTACCATTGATTGGTCTAGATAGTTTAACTGAGTTGGTATGTGATATTTTTAATTCGGAGGGCCTTTCTGTTGATGCCCAAACTTCAACAGCTAAAGTAAATGCAGTCTCTATATTCATGTCTGTCTTAGAACTAGTTTCAACATAAGGAGCACCCAGATATTCAGAGCACCATCTGTCTGCTTCATCTCTAGATACTACTCGGTCTTGCAGGTCTACCTATTAAAAATTATAAGACATTACTGTATTTTAATTATTAGTAGCAACTTTTTTTTAAATTTACCTTTGTAGCAACAACAAGAAATGGAAAATTCACATCAGTTGTCCTAGAGTATTGTAGGAATTCTTTTCTCCACGAATCTACAGTTTTAAAGCTTTGGACATCGTCAACAGCAAATGTTAGCAAACAAATGTCAGTTCCTCTATAAAAAGGTGTTCGTAGTGTTCGAAATCTTTCTTGGCCTGCAGTATCCCAGATCTGAATATGTGTTTATTTATTAGTTTAATATATAAATAAAATGTTTTGACAACAAATTTGTTTTAACCATACCTGCAAAGTATATACAATTCCATTGACATCGAGTTCCTTTTGAAGAAATTCTACACCCAATGTATGAAGTGTATGGTCACTAAAACTGTTACTTACAAACCTGTTCATCAGACATGATTTTCCAACATTACTATTTCCCAAAATGACTACTTTCAGTATTGGGTTTTGTTTAACCAAAATCGTTTTATCTTTCATACCGATATAAAATAAAACTATATCATGTGACACTAAATAATTGTATCATGCTTGTATTTAAATTATAATTAATTTAATACTTTGATAACTATTAAAAACAAACCAGAAATCATATATACTCAGTGGTTCAGTTTCCAGTGGTCTTCTTTTGTATAAATTATACAAGCATTTAAAAAAATAAAAATGAACTATCACTATGTTACAATTTACATATAATATGACACAGGTGATAAGAAAATTGCCATGTAAAAATTACACCATAGATTGTTTTGTGATAATAGATAGTATTAGCACTATCATGGCAGGTCCACCCATATCTCACGACAGTAAAATAGTAAAATACAAACTACAATTATGGGGACGCGAATCACTGACGTATCACGTATCCATTATTCCATTGGTGAAGGAATAGTATCTTCGTATATTATGCATTCATGCGTCCGTAATTTGACATTACGTTTTGAAGGATACCTAATACCTATTACGGCTATTCCTCGATGTACAGAAGATACTCAAAGATAGACCTTCTCTACATCGTGGGATATACCTTTACTCGTGATATAGGTCTATATTATAATATGTCCTATAACAGTTGTATAGTATACTCGATAGCAGTGAGTTGTGAAAATAGCTGAAAGAAATAAAAAAAAAAGACCTTTTTTTATTTATTTATATAGCTTAAAGTAACAAATAATAAATAAGAATTATAATACTTATTAAATATTCAATCAATAATAAAGTCCTGTGATTTTATATTTCTTATATTTCTAAATTAAACATTTAATAAATAATAAAATCTTGTAATTGTATATTTCTTTCAGCTGTTCCCACAACTTAAGGCTAAATAGTACTGAGTAACTATACAACTGAGTTGTAATTGTTAAGCTGTAATAATTTTATATTGGTAGCTTAAATAAAAAAAAAAAAAAAACTACAACTGTTGTATAGGTAAACATATGTACATATTTTAATATAGACCTATAGCACGATTAAAAGTATATCCTATTTATTTACTCACGTATTTATTTTATTTTTTATTTTTATTGTACAACTTGTTAAATATTTTTTAAATAAATCAAATAAAACATATTGTTTATTTTATTTTGTTCAGCTTGTTCAGCTGTAAGATACTTAAATTGTTGAGCTATTTTTTTTATAAAGGCTAATTAAAAAAAAAAAGGTATACCCTATGTCTCAAGACGACAAGACGTAGAGAAGATCTATCCTTAAGTATCTTCTCCAGTTCTCCACATCGTGATATAGCCGTGAGGTATCCTTTAAACGTGGTCACGAAGTACGGACTTAAAGTACAAATAAACTATTCCTTAATCCAGCGGTTCTCACTAGGATTTTAGAAAGGTTCAAAAAATAATTTTGAAAATTACTTGCGAACTATATACATTTTAAATGATCATGGTTAAAATTAATAAAAATGTATAATTAAAATGTTATAAAAGTCATAGTTCATAAAAATGATATAACTTAAAAAAATAGTATTAAATTGATATTGAATTTGAATTTTTATTTAAGTGGTTTTGATGTTGATGGAAGCTACCTCTATGGGTTCTATGTTTCTTTTATTATTTTATTTAAGTCCACGGGTGATTTTAATGTTGATAAACGATTTTTATATTTGTTTTTGACAAATGTTAACTTGCCAAAAGTCGCTTCGCACAAATATGACGACCCAACAAATGTTAAAATTGCTCTTACTTATAGTAAAATGGAAGGATGCTGATTTTCTTTCAGTGTACCTATTCCAAAATTCTATTGCATTATTTTAGCAAGAATAATAAGAAAAGATAATTTTAAGTATTGCATACCTTTTAAAACATTACACGGAATCCAAAAGACACATCTTATTATATTTACACTATTTAATATAGCATTTTAGAATGTACAATTTAGTGTTAGTGTGGGCCTCACAAAATTTGTCAAAAGGCGACTACTGCTACGGCCGAATCATACGCGTGATCCCGTGTCCCCATGGCCCACGATAGTGATTTATATTTTTTTGCCGTGGGACGTAGATCAGTGGGTGGACGTGCCGTGGTAGTTCAAATATTAATTAGTAAATAATAATTTCCTATATTTTGTATATTTAATCAATGACTGTGTATAGAGACTGTGATAAAGAGTACAAAGAATCATATTATTTTGTATTATCTTTAGCAATTTACTGTCTACAGGATACAAATATAAGTATTAACGAAGTACCATTACACAGTTTCATTTAATATGTAGACCAGATTAAGTTTTTAGGTCTATGCATATAGTAGCCGTGGCTTAAATATACTAGGTTTAAGGTGGATTTAGAAATCTATCTTGACTAGGATATTGCAATAGTACACTCACTATATCATATTTACAAGCTAAGGAATTAAAATTGTAGTTTAAATATAATAAAATAAAATATGAATTTCAACAGTTAGTCGCTAGGTAATTTAAAAATGAATTAATCTCTTCTACTTGATGACTAACTCATACTACGAGTATTAAGATAAAATACGTTTTATACAAATATAAAATAATTGTTTTCTATTATTATTTATTTTCAAGATTTGTATACATATTACATATATAATATATATATTGAAAGAATATTGTAACATAAAATTTTAATTGTACGTAATTAATTATTTATTTGACACAAAAGTTAATGTAACAATTTAAAAAATAAACATTTATATGAAAATTAGATACTAGTAAAAATGTACAAACTGATGATAACAAATTAAGAAAAAAAATTCAATTTATAATGATGATGAATTTGAAGTCTATAATTCTATTGAATTATAAATTAGGAGTAATCGTCTTCATCACTGCTTTCTTCAGTCTTAGGTTTAATAGCAGCTCGCTGAGCTGCAGCTTGTAGTTCCTGCCATTGTTGTTGTTCTTGAGCCATTTGCTCTTCTCTGGCCTAATAACATTTCAAATTTTGCAATTAGGAAATCGATATCTTTTATTAAAAGTAAAAAAAACTATACTCTGTCTCAAAAGAGTATTTTTTGCGCATTGCGATGTAATTGGCTGTTAAGAACCACGTAATCAAGTTAACACTGAGAAGTTGGTGCGAGATGCGCAGCACTGACGCAAATCGGTCGGCCAAATGATTATTCTCTTAAAAGAGAGTATAAGTTATAATATTACCTTTGCAAACAATTCTTGTTGCTGTCGTAACAATTCTTCCTCTGGTATGCCTAAATTTTCAAGTCTTGTACTTTGTCTTCTTCTTTTAGACTGACAGTCTTTACCAACTTCTTCTGCTTGTGCTCGGTAGTCACCAAATCCCAAATGGTCTAGAGCTAAAATATTTATTAAATTTAAAAAAGAAATATTATGAATAATTATTTTTTAACTTACCAGTCAATAAATGTTCAGCATTTATAGTTTTTTTCTGCTGAGCCATGCACACTTGATTAGCTTCTGATGCTACTAAGTGTATAAATTCTGTGCAACAGTTCATTATCATTTCTCTCACATCATTAGCAACCCGAATATTTGGTAAGGCATCTTTAATCATTTTATTGATTGATGCACGCGGTAGAGCTAGTTCTTCATCTTCATTAGATGGGCCCGGATTACTACAACCGTCATTTAAACTACTAGTGCTGCAGTTTGAAATTTGAGTTGTTTTACTACAACTTGGATTTGAATCTGTTATGCTAGAGCTTGGTATAGGATTAGAGGTGCTGCAACAAGGTACTAATCGATCATTATCACTCATGGTGTTTGAAGGTTGTATCATTGACATTTTACTTCCATAACCTGTAACAAATATATAATATAAAGTTGACAATTTAAGTTAAAAGTTAATCAAAATAAAATTGTATACAATATTATAATACTTCCAAAATCTATATTTTATTAGGTACATATTAATTGGATTACTAAAAAAATAATCATCACATAAAAAAGATATGTATAATTTTTAATGAACAAATGTTTTAAAACAAATTGATTCCTCACATAACTAACAAATTCCAACTACAATAATTATTGAAAAATAAAAAAACAAACAGCTAAGTTAATATTTATTTGTTTTAACTGTCTTAAGTTTATAAACTTTTAAATACATTTAAATTTATTTTAAGTATAGATAGAGCTTTCACTTCTAATAAAGAAGTGGTGTAAATGTATTAATAATTCATGCCTTTTGGTATTATTATCCAATAATAATATAAATAAGAATAACTTGTTTATGTATTTAATTTAGTAAATAATAAACATATAATTATCATGTAATGTTTCTGGCCACGTGAAAATTGAAAAATATAAATAAGGTAAGAACATACATAGTTATTTTATATGATAATTTTACATTAAAGAACCAACCTGGTTGAGGAGATATTCAGATTTCGAATTTGTATCTATGATAATTTACCAAGAGCTCACATCAGAACACATTTCATCATTTCAATCAACCATAGACCTATTAACATTGGTTTATAGGTCTATGCAATCAACACATCGTCAATAATTATTTTGATAATATTTCTCACCATAAAATTAAGATAACGCGTCTTTCGCCTTTGCGCTTGACGTGCCCAGTGAGACGTGTGAAAGTGGTAGGACCACAAAAATACAGTACAGAATAGGTTAAATGTAATCTATTCTACGGTAGGGGTAGGTTGTAGGACGGACTCGGCGGAGTGTTATCTATTCCGTTGTTTCGTGGTCCGTGGACGCAACTTTATTGATTTTGATTTTTGAGTTGATAAAACGGGGTTAAACTGGTACACCACAATAGGCCGAGCCGGAATGTTATTGAAAAGTCACGTGACTAAAATGACCAGTTTGCCACGCTATCTACTGGTGTTGTGAGCAGCTGGTGAGGGCATAGAAATAACATAATTATATATAATATTATGTCTAAGGGTGAGCCGGTGAGGGCATAGAATAAAGATAAGGGTGAGGGTACTCGTTAATATTCAAGATTTTCAAGAAGAAAAATTCGATACGTATCGATACGAATCGCTTGTATACTGCACGTGTAACATCTTGAACGCTCAAAATTGACCCCATACGTACCGATACACTCCAAATTCTTTCTTGAAAATCTTGTATGTATAACCATGTGTCGTAGCATTCGTAGACATAATATTTTTGTTTTCCTAGGTTCATGTGTACCGATTTCAAGAGCAGGATGATGACGCGAATCGCAATATTCAATGGCTCCACGCGAACGTATTCTGCAAGCTGCGGCATTTTCTTTTGTTTTATGCTTGCATTTTTCCTAAGCGTTCTGCAACCTTTTTATTGGCTATCGTATGTCGTGAGCGACATAACATAGCGGTATTGAAGCTGCTCGCAGAATCACCATAATATAAATTGTCTGTGAGAATCACCTGCTTAACTGAGTCACTGCGCTCTAAACAAACATATTTTGAGAATTTCGATTTGCGAAAGCTATGTAATAATTTAGTTCATAACTATTCCACTCATCCACTGTGCTATACGAGCGTCACAGAATTTTTGTATCACGGGAATAGTATTATGAAGACAACTTACTATTTCATTGCCATGAATTTAATCAGTGCTTAGATGCTTTAAAAATAATCATTTAGAATATCATTACATTGGATTCTTATTTTTTGTATATTTTTAAATAGTCACTAGTCGCATACATTTAATTCCCTTGGAGAGCACCTTACTTTCCCTGACGGCCTGACACTTTTTGAAAGTCAGTGTAAAAGCTCCTTATCATGTATCCTTGGATATCCAGCACGTATTAAGATATTTTATATCGTAGAGACTGCTGCTAGTGACATAGAAGTACAATTACTCAAGTACATGATAAAATAAAATGAAAAAAATGTTAATATAAAGTTTATTATCATGCATTACATTATTTATAATCTCTTAACTGGTGGTTATCACATTAAGTACCCCAATCCTTACACAGGTCGGCCAACCGTCGTTTTTTTGATTGCTAACACAAGTCACAACGCGTTTACCACGTCGTCGTCCTAAAGCAAAACTTATCAGCTGTATCAAAATTTCCTCATATTGTATTGTATGCACTCCCGCCCACAGTATCCCCTCCCTAATCAATTATACTTCCATAGGGCATAAACTTCTGTCTCTGTAGAAGTGTAGACCTGTAGTATACACACACACAGAACCTTCGGTGTACAGACTGCGGTGTCTCAGTGTACTTTACCTATTGTACTACATAATCTATTGTACACTAATGCGATACAGGAGTACCGGACACAGGTTTTAGATTTAAGACAATCGCTAATAATTTTGGCGATAACATAATGTTAATGTGTGTGCGTATGTAAAACGGCATCCTATCGTCGTGACAATTTTAGTCTTTTTTTTTTGGTAAGAAAACAAAAATGACGAAGCAGAACTACACGTTAGATTAACTATAACAAGACGAGCCAGCGAACAAGTAACAACGCTAGAATAGCTTTAGGAAGAAAAAATAGAAAGTGCCTTCATCCATAATTATCCAAACATCGACGTACGTACAGAGCCACTGTTTTCTGATTAGAAAAAAAGAAAGAAGGTACGTAATCATTCTCAAATGTTTTTATAATGATTATGATCAATTAATTTTATTACGGTCATTGTAAAATAATATATTGCACATTGACTACTTATTGCGGCATGAGCCCCTTATCTCTTGTTTCCATATTTTTCACCTAATCACTTTTTGTCCAAAAATAAAGTCTTTTATAAATAGACGTCCAGTGTTGAGTTTTTTTGCTCTGCATTTTGCATCCTTCTAAGTCATGGCAAAAGGCAAAAATAAGAAACGTAACCGGCAAAGTTCTAATGCTCCTGTTCCACTTAATGCTGGCGATTCGTCAGATTCGGGAGAATTAAAAAGTCAACCAACAAATAGTGAGTCTACGCCCTGTAACAAACTCCACTGGTCGTCTTCACATGTAACTTGCTCAATTTTAAATATTAATACCTATGTTTTTTCCAGTTCTTAAACATCCTTGCACTCATGTCAAAAAAGCAGTCAACGTAAACAATGTAAACAAATGTTTACAAAAGGTTGTTTCACAGTGTTCTGAATGTAAAAACAGTAATTTGGAAGTATGTAAATTGTTTTACAATAATCTATAACATTTATAGAGTAAATTTTTATACTTTTTGATCATATTTTATTAAAAAAAATGTATTTTTTACAAGTGCCTTGGCTAATTATTTGTAAACACCTTAGTATTATAAAATGTTCATTCTATTTTAGGAGCTATACATTTGTATACAGTGTGGATCATTTCATTGTTCTAATCTGGACATCAATCATATCCTTAAACATCAGAACACTCCAAGAAGTGATTCACATTCCATTGCTGTTAACATTGGAAGTTTGATAATTTTGTAAGTTGATTATTTTTTTTTGCTTATTTTCAGAATTTTTTTAAAATTTTTATATAATACGGAAAATAATGATGGAAATTCATAATATTTTTATGATACTGCATTTTGTATGATAATAAAATGAGAAAATAAATCAAAGTACATAAGTGAAAATATTAGAGGGAGAGCTAAGCTATTAACTAAACTCAATTTAATTACCACCATATGGCAATTGTAACTATATCACCATAGACCGTTAAATTATGCAGAACGAGGTTTGACTAGATTTTGCGAGACAATTTTTAGCTCTAAACTAGACACAAGTAAACAATTCAGGAGAGTCTAAAATACCTGGCCAAAAAATTGTTATCTATTATGTGCAGTAAAAATGGTCAATAAACATATTACACTGTAAATCATAATTATGGTAGCACACAACCCAGTCAATTTTATACATGTTCCTATTAAATTAGTGTTTTGCAAGCTTTGGATGCCATACAATTATACTTCACACAAAATTGCTTAAAACTGTGTTATGTTTGAAGAATCTAAGAACTTTGGTTGTGCTACCGAAAAGTCAATATGCCAACAAAAGATAGAAAAGATACATAATTAATTCCAAGGTCAAATATTTGAGTCGCATCTGCAAGTGCTAATGAAAATTTATAAATAAGTTTTATTAGAAAGAATATGAGATTTAGAGAAGATGATTGAATGCCACTTGTCCAAATTTAGAGTAAGTGTCAAACTATGCCAGACAGAAAATAAATTTCGTTTATCCTGTATCAGACTCAGTCGTTCACTCAAAAAAATGTTGAAATCTTAAATGAAGAGAAGAAATGTGAGAAAGGAAATTAATATTAAAGGAAAATACCACTGGGACTCTTTTCCCTCACTATTATATCCACCAATGTATCTGTACAACATAAAATCAATGCTACTACTTATTTGGTTATAAATTATTCTCTTGTATCAATTATTGTACTAGGTATAAATGTATGATTAAAATTAATTATTTATTACAAAATATCAGTAACTCAATTCTAGTATTTTAATTTTTACCTCCATAAAAGGATAACCAATTACACTTAAACACAATATTTTATAAATTTGAATAGTGGAAAGAAGTAGATTTTTTTTAATGTTGAGTGATTACATTTTATTCATGAATAACATTTAAGAAAATACTGTATTTACCACATAATTATGTATTTATTATTTCCAATGTACATTGGCACAATTGTTAAAATGTGTGACTTTTTGACTACTTAATATTCCAAGTAAAAAATTAGAGCAGACTAACAAATGTATAATTCATTAAGATAGCAAGTATTTTTATTTTAATAATTATATTTATTTATATAGATGCAACGATTGTAAAAAAGAAATATCGGTGACGAGCTCAAAAAAACTACAAACTATAATAAATTCTATCACTCATATGAAACAAGTGCAAACAGGTAAAAATAAAATGAATGATCTTCCAATTCAAGGCTGTTCTACTGAAGCAGATGCACAATATGATAAAATAAATTCAGGTTAGCTTATAGTAATAATTACAATTGATGTAACGTGTATTATTATTTTTTTTTTATAGAAAGTTCTCCAAAAAAGTGTAATGGAGTAAATAAATCTGATGATGATGATGCTCCATCATTAAAAAAAACATTTGATCTCTCTGAGAGTATTACTAACAATGTTGAACGATGCAAAAGACCTAGAGTAAGTTGTTTAACTCTACACTTTTAATACCACTAAAGTTCTGATGCACTTATGTGTCATTAAACTTAATTTCTAAAAATCTGCATTGTGTTTTTATGGGTTATTGTTCAAAAGTATTTTTATTGATAAAATCCTAAACCTTTACCAAGAAACATTCATGATTTTTTAAGGATTTGACATATTAGTATTAAATGTATTATTAAATTGTTTTAGACAATATGTCATACGTTCAAAAATATTGTCCTCTATAATTGTTTGTGATGGGCAATTTTATTCAAAAACATTTAAAAAAAATATAAATACGTTTTTTCTATGTTGCACTCGGGTCAAAAAAATAAAACATATGGTGCACTGACATCCTCTTATCCATTATTAATTTTATTTACAACCAAAAATATTTTTTGTAAAATAGTTAGGTGAAACACTTAATGCTTTAATTAAAAATGTGCCAGTATTGTAGTTAAAATTGGAAACATTGTGAAAAGTCTTAACCTAATTGTTATATTGTATTTTAGGGATTATCCAATTTAGGAAATACATGCTTTTACAATTCAGTTTTGCAATGTTTAGCACAAACTCCATTTTTAAGAAAGTTTTTACTTGAGATAAGTGAATCCGGTGAACCAATGACCATAAAATTAGATAATGAAGATATTGTAAGTATTATTTTATAAATAAGTTGTTTATTCTTGTCTATATTATATTAGTTCATCTTGTTCTAACTTATGTAATCATAATTTATTGAAATATTTATTCATTTGTAATTATTGTGTTATTGAAGCCATTATTTAGTGTCCAGATTTTGAAATTATAATTATTACAAATAACCTGAAAGTATCTTCCTATAAATCTATAGATGCTAAATTTGCTATTTTTACAATTATTCTTCATGAGATCCTTTTATATTTTTACAAACATGGCATGA